TGAAGTTAAGCACATGATGAACCGCAAGATTCTGAAGACGACTGCCCGAGTTCCTATGCTTCAGCCTGAGGATCAGACTGATCAGCGTTGAGCCCCCCAGCAGCAGAAGAAGCGGGCTTTGCACTTTGCCGAGCCTCCCTTTCCCTCTGCTCAGCTTCCAACTCCAGTCTCTCAGCTTCCTCTTCGGCTTCCTCAGCCTTAAGAATTTCAGCTTCGGCTGGAGTTGCATACTTCATGTGAGGGTCTTCGGGATTCTGGACCCACTCAGCACATTTAGACCAGTCCAGTTTCGGCTCAGCATGAAGGCAGACTCTTCGGCATACTCGGAATCCGTTTTTGAAACCCATCTCATATTCCTCTTGGGTATAAACACGGACTTTGAGTAAAGCCTCAGCATCAGCCAGCTTCTTCTGGGTCTCCTCCAAGTCTTCCTTGGATTTCTTCAGCTCATCAGCGACTTTGGAGGAGGAACCTTTCAGCTCATTCAGCTCTTGCTGAATTTGGAAAGCCTTTGTCTGAGCTTGGGCCACTTCAACTTTCTGGATCAGCAGTTGATCCTCAGCCTCTTGGAATTTAGCTCTTTGGGCTTTAGCAGCAGCAGCAGCCTCTGAGAGTTGGACGTCTTTGGCCAGGAGCAACTCTTCAGCAGCCATTCGGCTGGCTTCAAGAGCCTCTAGGCGCTGCTGCACTTCAGCTTGTGCAGCAGTTCCTTCTTGAATTCGGCTCTCAACAGCAGCCTTGAATTTGGATACGTCCACTCCCATATGCTCCTGGAGGAATTTTTCCCCTTCCATCAGTGGGGGAAAAACTTCCTTCTCCATAGTATCGCAGAAGGTTTTCAGGGCTTCAGCAGCTTTTTTCCCGTACTCTTCAACCTCCTGCTGCTTCTCTTCAGCTGCTGCTTGCTTCAGCTTAGCAAGCTTCACTTCCTCATCAGCCACCTTCTTGTCGTGCACAGCAGCGTCTACCCTATCTTGTAGGGTATCTATCAGCTCTACAGTGAGAGTCTGATTGTGCACGAACTGAAAACAGGAAGACAAAAATAAATAAATAAAAAAAAATAAAAAATATATATATAAAGAGTTGAATTTCGGAGGAAATGAAGACAAGGAAAATTACCTGCATCATCAGCAGTTGGTTAGACCTGGCTGGGTCAGGAACTGATCTGCTGGATTCGCCCATCCCAGCAGTGGCCTTCAGCGACCAGATCCTTGCCCTGTCTACTTCGGACATGCCAGCAAAATTGCCGAAGTAGGCTGCAGCTCCTTCTCGGTTTTGACCCCATATGAGGTCCCAGATGTGGTCTGGGATTGGAATTCGGGGGGCCGAGAAACCCATTTCTCCAGAATGCAGAGTCTGGAAAGAAGGGAAGGACGACGATGGAGCTTGATTAGCTTTGGTTGTCTCAGCATCGTCCTTCTCAGAGGAGTCAATTACTATGACCTCCTCTTCTTCAGGGGTGAGGACGAAAGCCTCAACCTCTCTTGCGATGTCTGCCGTGAAGCCCTCAGCGCTGGACATCACGGCATCCTTATTTTCGTGCTCATCAGCACTCTTCTTGATTTCTTCTGGGACCCCTCCCTTAGGTTCGGGAGTTCTCTGATCCACCTCCATCTCAGGAGGTAATGGAGGGGTCTTTTGAGGTGATTGGGGTGTTGGCTGGGGAACCCTCGGCGATCCGTTGCCTTCCTCAGGTTCCCTTATTGCGACGCCGATGGTCATCGGCCTCTGCTGAAAGTCATGAGGGCCGATGATGGCCATCCTTCGGCGCCTTTTCAGAAGGGGCTGCTCGTCCATATCTGAGTCTGAAGACTCTTGTATTTGGTCTTCGGGACGAACAGGAGCTTTGCCTTCTCTGTGTTTGTTACTCTCTTCAGACTGTAACAGAGGGGGGAAGAAGAATGTGAGTAAAAAAAAAAAAAAAAAAAAGAGAAAAAAGAAAAAAGAAACAGTTGTCTGAAAGCTCACCGAGGTCTTCAGCAAAGCCTCGTCTTCTTCAGCTGCTCTAGCTGCAGCTTCGGCTTCAGCAGCTCTGGAGGACCCTTCTCCTCCTTCGCAAGCCTCGAGTACCCGTGCAACCTCTTCGGCTGTGCGGGCAGCTTCAGCTTCTTCGTTCAGCAGCTGAAACCAAGGGTCTCTCTTCTTCCACCAAGGCTTCTGCCTCTGATACAGAGCAACAGCCTCAATTTGGAAGTGGGAAGAGTCTAGATGAACTTCCCTATGCCTCGGCTCAGTGATAGACGGGGCCCGTTCAGTTACAACTCGCTCTCGGTTAACACCAAGACGAGCGTAGTTAATGCCAACGTTGGTCTCGTCCCGCTCTGAAAAAAGGAAAGGGGAAAGTTTAGCTCAGATATATCTGCACAGCATAAAAAAAGCAAAGCGAGAGAAGAAAAAGAGGTAGTTAAAAAGCCTCGGCCCCAGCCGAAGCAGCTTACCATCCTTAAACTTTCGGCTGAGGCCAACAGCTGCTAGCATGTTCTCTTGGAAAACGTAATGCGTATCGGGGAGCCAAGTCTCCGGGATATGCTGCATTCGACCACTCCCCCCCGGGTTCGGCAGCTTGCCGAAGATATGTTGCTGATCCAGGTTCGGATCCGCCCCGTTATCTGCGGGGGGACCTAGACTTCCCATTTCGGGATCAGGCTCAGCTAAATACCGGGGAGCGCTGAAGACGCAAGGGTGGCCCGGATCTGTGGGTGCCCTAACCCAAATCCATTGACCTCTCCAGTCCTTGTCTGAAGAGTCGTTTGGCCACATGGTCAAGTATTGGGGCCGGGACTCAATCCGGTACCACCCAGAACCATGGCTTCCGTGCCCACTTTGAATATTTGGCACTAGCCGATGGAGCTTTTTGAAGCAGTGCAGGTTCGGCACGTACTTGAAGAACTTGCAGACCCATAAGTATGTCATCACCCATCGGATGCTGGTGGGGGTTAGCTGACATAGGGAGATGTTGTAATGGATCAGCAAGTCTCGGACGAAAACGTCCAAAGGGAACCTCAGCCCGTACTGAAGCTGTCTCGTGTACACCCCCACATACCCTGGGGGTGGACGATGGATTCTATCGGATGCTGAGGGCATTCGGCACCAATATCCATCAGCTTCAAAAATGCCGTAATGCAACTCAATTTGCTCGGCAAATCGATATTGATCGGCGTTCTCTACCCACCATGAGTAGGGGCGATTCTTTATCATGGCCGAAACGACTTCGGCATTCTCCCATTCTGAAAACCCAGGGAGGATATCCCAAAGTACAGCGGGAACTTCATCATCCCGTCCAGAAGCGCTCGGCTCATCCGTTCTTTGAGGAGGAGCCGAGGAAAGGGGAGTCGCCCTAATCCCTTCAGCAGGGTCAGACTCCGGCCTTTGACCATTCCAGGTCCCAATCCTGTTCCTAGGATCGGGAATCGGCCTTGCTCTTCTTGGAGCACGGGCTCTACCTCTAACTCCTCTTGCCATTGATTATTTCGAAGAGAAAAGTCGAAAGAAAAGGGGAAGGAGTTCGAATTCGAAGAAAAATAAACTGAAATCAAAGGAATTTACCTTAATCTGAAGCGAAAGTTGCCGATTTACGAGTTCGTAGTGGCAAGTCTCAGTTTCTAAGCTCAATGCTCGGGGAATTTGCGAAGTTTTGATGCGGGTTCTTGGTTTCTCTCTCGAAGAATTCTGGGTTTGTGTTGGTGAATAAGTGAGGAGAATGACGCGCCTCTGTTTATATCTCCAGGTACGGGATACGAAGAGTCTGTGCTTTAATTTCTCTTAAATACCCACTAAGTAACCATTAAACACATGATCTTGTGATTAAACTGCCCATTATCCGTCCAACTTCCGCAATCATTAACCGTTGTTATCTCATTAATTACGGTTTAAATTCAAATTTTTGGATCAATTAAATCATTTACTTCCCTCCTTTTCTGAATTAAATCAAACCCGACCCGTCATCCTTCCAAATCGGGTCTGGGGGGCAAGTTGTTTGGGTCCAATTTAGTCAAAATTGGGCCTAAGCACTAAATGATCCAATTAAAAGCCCAAGGTCAAGGTTCAACTCTCCAATTGCACAAAAGTCAAAGGTCAGCCCACAAAGCATGCCAATTGGGCTAAGGCCCAACCTCACCATGTATGATGAGGTATAAAAGCCATCAGATTCTAATTCATAGGCTCACATATTTTTGCATTCAGAAATATTCCACAAAAGCCTCAAGCTACAAACTCTCTTGCATAGTGTCTTCCTTTTACACATTGTACTGACTTTAGCATCGGAGGGGCCTTCCTCGGAAACACCCCCGAGGCTAGTTTACGTGTGTTTACTGTGCAGGAAACCTTCGGCCCAACACAACTTGGACCGAATCCAGTCTTCTCCATTTCAGCGGACCTTCGGCAAGGTCCCATTGTTTTCACCCGAAACACGGAGTATCTTTGAGTTGCAATTGATTCATCCAGTGTAAATCGATCGACGATGTGAAGTTGAGTAAGTATTCAAAATACACTACTCGTTTGCATATATTTGGCCTAAGCTAGAATCAACTTTAGCCTATGATGACTCCAATCATCCAATGAAAGACTCTAACCCACAATCAACTAATTCTTCCGCAACTGAATTAGTCAATTCAAATTAAGATTTAATAAACAATAACATATTGAGTAACATTAACATTAGCCAAAATCAGAACAATTCATCACCAAATCATCCCATTCTGCTGATAACACCATTCACCACACCACTATAACAAGTATTTTTTTGGTACATCCACTATCTTCTCGTGACCAAATATAAGAAAGCCTTAGTTATGATTATGTTACTCCTAAATAGTAATTCCTACGATGTATGTAATATTATATTGGTCAAGACGAGCCTGAGGCAGATCAGTGTAGTATTCAAACCTGAAACCTATCATATAAGACTATAACCATGTATTTGGGACACAAATGATAACACAACACATTCACAATTTTTGTACATATAATAATAAATAATTAATAATGTGACATTATAAATCTATAATTAACTTGACAAGTATGAATTACGCACGAAATTGAACCGCGATCAAATGTCAATTCGACATAACAAAATAAGTTGTTACATCAAAAGCATATGAAATTATATGAAGGGGGGAGAAGAAATGGTGAGATTGATCGAAATGACAATACACATGAAATTACAAAACTAGCACAATTTAATAATAATAAAAAAAAAAAAGTAAACAACTAATAATAATATAATAATTATACTCGTTTGACAGGGTCGAAGTTGGAGACGGCAACAACAGCCCCAACAATAGCAGTGAGCACAACTCCACCAGCAGCAATACTCAACAAGAAATTCTTCAAAGAAGGCGATAACTCAGCCGCTTCGGCTACATCCGGAACCATCATCGATGCCGTAAGAGCCGCCGCTGTAAGCCCAGTAACAGCCTTCTCCTTCAATGAAGCCTGGACTTTAAGGCCCATTGCTCTGGGCTTCTGGCCCATCAACGCAGCCCTTTGTGGCTTAATGGGTAATGGGCTGAAGAAGTTAGTCTTGGTTGTTGTTGTGATTGGTGTTGCCATTGAAACTGCTGATAGTGAAGCCATTTTATTTTGTTTTTCTTTTTTTTTTTTCTTGATTAGCTTAGCTTAGTTTGTGAAGGAGTGAATTCTGAGCTAATAAGAAAGAAAGAAATGAAGAGTTTGTAAGGCAGGAAGAGAAAAGGAGATTGGGTGAATCTAATTGAGTTGAATGAGTGGTTGCCATATCATTTGTCTTAGCTCCACGTGGCATTATTTTCTACCTATTATTATTTTTTGATAAGGTTAGATAAGATTTTCCATCCTATTTTCTAAATTTCCAATGCCAAACATCACAAACCATGCATGCTACTTTAATTTGGGGATACTTTGCTTATTAGTACTTCCTATTAATTTATTATAGAGGTCCCGTCAAAAAAAAAAAAAAAAAAAATTATTATAGAGGTACTCTTTTAATGAAGAGTATTATGGAAACACCTAAAAAAAACAACATTTTGGACCTTGTAGGCCTGTAACACAACTCTTTGCTCAATAATAATCCTTAGTTTATTGATTTTGAATGTGCATAGTCATCATTTTGCAAATTTAATTGTTAGTGTCATCTTTGATAATATATTGTTAGAAAAAATGTAACAAATTAATACTTTGAAAATATATTAGGCTAATTATATAACATTTTCATAGAAGAAACATTTTACTATGTATGATATAATAAAATATGTGGTTTGCTTATATACATAATTAAGGGTCTGTTCACATCAGCTTAATTTCAGTTCAGTTCAGCTCCAATTAATCCAGTTCAGTTCAGCTCCAATCAGTTCAGTTCAGTTCAGCTCCTAATTTCCTTCTCTCATAAAATATTCATTTTACTTCAGTTCAGTTCCACTCCAATCTAATCATCAGTTCAGTTGCAATCAGTTCAACTCATTTTAATAAATGTGAACAGAATCTAATGCAAAAGGTTGAAATCGGTAATGTATATATTCTAATTTTTTTTTAACTTTCGTAGTATAAATAATATAAAAACCAAAGTATATAACAATTGTTATTTTTAATTATCTACTACTTAATATAATGAAAAGATTATTATATGCTTACAAAATAAATCGACATGATGATGAGTATATCCTCCATAAATATTCTGTATGCATAACAACATTTGCATGATATATGCTAGTGAAAAGTTATAATTTAAGAGACATGAATATGATAGTGAAAAAAAATTGGGTGAGTCAGAATCGTAGTGAGTCCAACATGTCTGACATTAATAATCTAATATATAAAAATAAATTATTAGACTATTAATGTCAGATATTATATTTCTCATGTTAAATACGGAGTATTAGGTTATTAATGTCAGATATATTGGACTCATAGTGAGTCCGATCTCACGCAAAACATTCTCATATGTTAATAGCAAAGTAATTACAATAAGATTTAATTTTGGGATTTTGGGTTCATTAAACAACATTTATTTTATTTTGATGGATGGGGAAGCATTTTATATTTTGTTCTCACTATATACTGTATTATTTAAAATGTTTTTTTTAATTAATTTTTTGGCATATGCATGGATGGGGCCCACTTTGGTTGTAGTTCATAGAGTTTACGAGTAGTTGCCAAATTGGTGTCATGTTAATATGAAAGTTCACAACAATGATTATTGTATGGTTGGTTTCAGTGTTTCAATCGATATGACTTTTTTCAAATTAAATAATAATCATATTTTTAGTACTCCCATTATTTTATACAGTAAATAAAAAGGAAGTTGGGATCCCATTCGATGTATGATTAGTACTAGTAGCACCTTCTTTTTTTCTATATTCCATTATTAGTTGTTGGAGAGGAAAAGATTAAGCTTGCTATATGTATATCAGTATATGTATATCTAATGAGTTATCATATCCATTTTTTTTTATAATTTAATAATGGGCTAGATATCTTACAATATAAGAATGGAGTATTATCAAATTCAAAATATAATTGGAACTTTGTTATTTTGTATTATGGAATACAAAACTTTCCATATTTTAATGTATAATTGACTAATTGGTTCCTGAATTTGTAGGTTTTATAATGCAATCAAGTATGCAGTTTTAATGTACAGAAGAATGGAAGATGATAGATGAAAGAAAGGATTACGAATGAATAGCGATGGTTGCTTGCTCACAGGCTAGAATAATTGATATTATATATATTCTCGAGACTAATCATAGAGAAAGATAAATCATACCATTTAAAGAAATTTGGACACAAAATAATGTAGTTATATATTCATTCAAGTATATATTAAACAAAAATCGAACATATATCTCAAGCCCCAACTATATATAATTAACTAATTAGGGTATAAGGATAAGATTACATATACATAATACAGAATTCAAGCTGAGTTGTCGTTAATATTATAAACGACGACACAAAGTACATAGAGCTACAACATACAGTTGGCTAATTCTCCAACACATATCTAGGCGTGAGGCCAGGGTCAAATCTCACAAAACTAATTATAAGAGGAATTTTCCTTAATTCCTCTTAGGATCTTCGTCCATATATACCATTTTAAAAACTTGTATAAACTAAAGATAACAAGATAATTAATTAGTAGGTGTAGGAGTAATGGCATCATCAGTGAGGTTCAAGAGACGAGGACAATTATAAACTGAGCAAAATGATTGAAGAACCATCAATCCCAAGAGTAGAAGAGTTGCCAAAACAATGAGAATTCTCCAAGAGTTATACACATACCTTTTCATAATTTTATGGAACTTCCTCCTCAACGTATTGTTATAATACGCATTGGCATCTTCGACGGCTGTATCAATGAACGGAACTTTGGTTAATCGAATGGCTTTTGTCATCCCATTCCATAAATCGGCCACCTCGGCGTTACTCCCTAGTCGACTTATTATGATGTTACTCTTCCTAAGAATTCCAGCATCCTTAGCAGTGTCAACAATACCATTCATTAGTTCCGTGTAACGCGCTAGCACCAAAGGCCCTGAGGTCGACGAGGCCTCATAAGCTACTAGATTACGCATGAGAACATCTGTGTTACCATCGACATGAACCACAGGAAGGTAGAACTTCAACAACTTTTTATCGAATCGAATGGTGGAAATGTCACCATTTGTTGGACAAAATTGTACGCCTGCGTCGTTAAGTTTCGTGACCGAGGGAATTGCAATCTGCTCTACACATGGAGCTTCCGCAGCACCACCTTCGCGCTTGCCACTATTTTTGCCACTTCCTAGAATAAGACTCTCTAACACGGGTGACAAAGCCGAAATAATTGGTAACTTCGAAATGATCTTTAAAGGAAACTTTGCTAGTAGCTTGAAAGGTTTGGCACTAATAAGAACGTCCTTAAATTTTTTCATTGCCGCGAGTTTGGAGGCAATCGCCCATGTTTTAGTGAAGACCTCTTTGTCCTCACCAAAATCCAACTCTTCGTCGTTTGGCTTCTTGGAAAGATGTGCTTCTTCCGATATCTCTTCTTCATCACCTTGCTCCATTCTCGGAATAATGAGATGGTAAAGGAGATCTAACAAGTGTGAGCATTTGATAACCTCGGAAATTGGATAGTTTTCGTTAATTGCAAGAGGAGAGAGCTCTTTGCAAGCACCCATCAACACGGATGGCAACAAGTTTCCTGCCAAGTCCGAGGATGAGCATTGTATGCGTAAAATCTTCTTCAATACAAATATAGGAATTTGGTTTTCGAGCATCAAAATGTCGTTGAGGATGGATATATAAGCCAACTTCTTCCCCATCGAGTTAAGCAAGAAAGATATCCTCGACGAAGAGGCTAGATCATTACTCTTGTTGACATAAACATGAAGAAACTCTAGCAAGAATAGGCCATCGATAGCCATCATCCATGCTATTGTCTCTCCATCCATGTCTAAGTACTTATTGTAACACCCTCGAATTTGGTGTTCCTTCTTCACTAGCTTCTTCACAAGATCCTCAAATTTGAGGTTGTTCATGAAATCCTTCTGAACCCTCTTAGAACATAGGAGCTTGTACCGCTCCATCACGTAGAGATCTTCGCGCCAATGATGGTAAGGCCCTAAGGCTATGATATGAGGGCTATACGCATTGGGCTTGAAAGCTCGAAGCGATTTGGGGACATTGTAAACACAAACATTAGTTGTGTTGCCAATATCATCATCTTCTTCTTCTTCAAGCTCTCTTTCTTTGAAAAAACTACGAATCTGAATGACCCAAGAAGATGAGTCTTTAGATGATAATGAAGAATTCGTAGACATGATGATAATAGCTTAATTTATTTTTGTTGCTTAAGAGTTCATGAAAGATTTGTTACATATATATATAGTGGAATGGAGTTGTTGAAATGTTTTTTACACACTGAAAATGAAGATAGTAGGCCCTTAGAAATAGGCTTACAACTCTTAAAACTAACAAGCTATAAAGTAGGAACTAATAAACAAGTAGGTAACAAACACTCCAGTACTAACTTTGAATTACGTTCTAATAAACTGTGATTTAGGAAAATAATACTCCGTATGCCACTGTTTTGGAGCAATAACTAACAGAAGTGGCCTGGTCCAACCGTCCAAACATTAATCACGTGGTGAGTTGGCTATGTATTATACTATATGATTTTTCATTCACTTTTACAGAGTGTAGGTTGCGTAATTACAAAAAAAATAATCACGAAAATGATTGCTCCCATTTGCTAAACATACCTATGATAATTTAAATTACTACTGTACATACTATTGTCTGTATAGATTAATACGGACATATGATCGGATGATGAATTCAAGGATTATAATGCATCAACCATCTACTCTGATCTATATGTAGTTTACCAAGCATAACTTCGTCTGCTGGTCAAGTTTGTTTCTCACAACCAAGAGGTTGTGGGATCAAACATTCAAACCCCACTAGAGACACTTTGGGGATGGGGATTTCTTTACCCTTCCCCGTCACTTTCAAAGTGTCTAGCCCGTTAATCCGGGTCGGGAGGACATGTGAGAGGTTCCGACCCGGTAGTTCCCTTCTCCTTACCAACCAAAAAAAAAAATATACTACTCTGATCTGTATGATAAAGGGTCTGTTCACATTTACTTAATTTCAGTTCAGTTCAGCTCCCAATTTTCTTCTCTCATAAAATATTTATTTCAGTTCTGTTCAGTTCAGATTCAATACGTTCAGTTCAGTTTAGTTAAGCTAAGTTTAATAAATGTGAACAAGCCCAAAATCAAGAAGAAATTTCAACTGTATGAAATAATTGGTAAGTAACTCAAAGTTTATCTGTGTTTTCTTTCTTTATATATAAAAGTTGACTTTTGAATTGGAGTATATAAAACTACCAGAAATAAATATACAAGAGTGCCTTTACTACCTTATATTGTAATTTGTTCAAATAGAAAAAGTTATATTGTAATTATAGCGATATGAAAATTTTTAATTTACTACGAGTATATGCTTATTAATTTAAATTATTATTATTTTAGGGACGACATGATGAGTACCATATTCTTAATTTGCTCTGACAATGATTTCAAGAATACTCGGTCAACAAATTAAAAAAGGCAAACATTAATCGAAAAGGCAAAGTACTAAAGTGTAAATGTATCAATGTTTTTAAATCTGGACTAAATAATTAAGGACGGAAGGAGTATTTGAATATGAGAAAATACTTTTTGGATAAGGCATGTTGACACTAACAATTGTACGTTCTTCTAACTTAGGTATCTTATTTATTAAAAAAAAAAAGTAATATAAAGTATTTTTAATGCTAGAGATTAAAACCGTACCAATGTTAAATATTCCAACAATTAGTATAGGCTTTTTATCTAAGTTGATCGTTTAACACAGATGGTATCAAAGTCTATATATGTATTAAGATCGTTACAAGCTAAAATCACATGAACTCTTATCAAAGCGGAATAATAATTAGCATTGAATATAATAAATGCTGCACCCACTTTTCAAATCTAAAGAGTTATGAAAAAATGCGTGATAAACAATAAACCCAATCTTGAACCTTGGATCATAATTTTTTTTAACCCGCCCCTAGTCATATTGGCTTAGACATTTAATTTAGTTATATGTTGATCAGTTGACTATGATCTAGATTCACGTGTTAAAACTAAATTACTCACACTTTACCCGTGGTAGGTCAAAAGCACTAATTTGGGGCTAGTCTGATTGAATTGTAGTAGTTGTTTTTCAATAATGAGATTAGTAGGGGTGAGCAAGATCGGGTACCCGGTCATATTTGTAATATCCGGATCCGGAACCGGTTATAACCGGGTCCCAAGAATTGGAACTGGTCCCGGAACCGGTTAATACCGGATCCAAATTTTTTGGAACTGGTCCCGGACCCGGTAGGAATCGGTTCCAAAACCGGGTACCCGGTATTATTCAACGTAGTAAAATACTGTTTTTTTCTTTATAATTGTTATATAATATATTATTATATATAATGGAATTTTGCAGGCTAGTTATATTAACATAATAATATCCCTAAATTAGTTTTGGAGGCTAGCAAAATACAAATATTTCAAAATACAAATATTACAAACTAATAAGCCAAAAAGTACCAATTCAACAACCTAAAATATCAGTTAACAAACTTCAACAATGCTGCAAAGTCCAAACATCCAAACATAACCAAAACAACTACTTAAATAAAAGTTCAGAAAAAAAAAAGGGAAGAAAAGGAAGGGCAGCAACAGGCAGCAGCTGAGCACACCATCAGCCAGCAACAAGACCAGCAGCAAGTCAGCAACCATCTAAGCAACGAAGAAAGACAGCATACAGCAGACAACAAAGCAAAGAGGCAGCAGCCAACAAGGAAGCACAAATTCCCTATAAACAAAAGCCAAAATGTCCTTAGAATATTTGTCATTTGATATCTTTTCATACAATATAATTAAGAATACAATTATACAAACCTTTGTCACATCAATTATTTCCAACAAATTCATTAACTTGTGTGATGCCAGTGTCACTACCATCCAATTCTAAAAAAAACAGTAAACAATATAAGTAATAAACTTAGAGAAATAAAATAGATAAATATACAAAATAATAGAAGTATTAGTGTATTACCTTCTTCATATTTTTGAACATCCTCAAGGAAGCGCTCAATATCAATGCATACATTTGACGCCCTTAACCAATCTTGAGTACAAACTAAAGCTTCCACCATATTTGGCCCCAAACTACTACGAAATTGATCAAGTATGCGACCCGATGTACTAAATGCGGATTCACTAGAAACCGTAGAAATTGGTATAGCCAAAATGTCCTTAGCCAATGTTGACAATACTTTGTATTTGTCACTTTTTTCTTTCCACCAACCCAAAATATCAAACATTTCCCCTTCAACCCTTCTCTCCCGAGCTTCTTCAAGATAATAATCCAATTCACTTTTTTCAACAATAAAATCACTTTCTTCCTCATCAAAATCATCATAAAACTTTTTCATTTGCTCACTATTTGAAGAGCTCAAGTTTTCAGAACCATTATCCACATTGGCAACATTAATATTACGATTATTCTTGGAAGAGGAAGAAGCAATAATAGCATCATAATGGTTAAATAACTTCTGAACATTGTCATACAAATTGTCACAAATAACATCGACTTTGGCAAAGTCGTTAGGATAAAGTTTTTTAAAAGAATACTTCAAAAACCTAAGCTTATATCGAGGATCTAAAACAACCGCAACTAACATCATGATATTAGTTTTACCGAGATCCCCATAATACTTATCAAACTTTTCCCTCATTTGTCTACCCATAATACGAATATCCATATTTGTAGAGTTTTCCCATTCTATCAAACAACTTAACACCTCCAAAACCTCGTGAAAATACAAGTTTGTAGTAACATATAAACTACCCGACATTTTCTTTGTAGACTCATAAAATAATTTCAAACACAAAGACAACACTTTAGCATTTACCCAATCTTCTTGTGTAGGTACTCCATCCTTGAGTTCCCTACTAAAATCAGGATCATCTTCCGCAAACCTATTAAAAGCTTTTTCAAATTTCAATGCGGTTTCAAGCATGAGAAAGGTAGAATTCCATCTAGTTGCCACATCAAGACAAACTGAACCTTTACAAGAAACTTTAACCAACATAGAAGAGTGTGCAAACAATTTAGCTCTAGAAGGTGAACTCCTCACATATCTAATAGCAGCACGAATTCGAGCAATCGAAGACTTCACACTAGATAAACCATCTTTCACAATCAAATTTAGAACATGACAAGCACATCTCATATGAAAAAATGAACCCTCCAAAACAAGTTTATCATGAAAATGTGTTTTCAAATATCCAACCGCCACATCATTTGAACTAGCATTATCAACAGTTAAAGAAAACAATCGATCCTCAATCTCCCATTTAAGAATACATGCCTCCACAACTTTTCCAATTTCCTTACCTTTATGACTATCCATTAATTGAAAATTTAAAATTCTTTTATGCAACTTCCAATTATCATCAATAAAATGAGCAGTCAAACAAAGATAATTAAAATTTTGAATGGAGGTCCAACAATCAGTTGTTAGTGACACTCTCGATTTCAAACACCCAATTAATTTCTTTAATTTTCCACTTTCACAAACAAATATATTCTTCACATCTCTTGCAACTGTAAAACGTGAAGGTATATGAAATTGAGGTACAGCAACACTACAAAAATACCTAAAACCTTCACGCTCAACAATAGAAAATGGTTGTTCATCAACAATAACCATTCTTGCCAAACCAAGTCTACAAGCAGTTTCATCAAATTTCCAATTAGAGACTATAGTAGCATCAGATTCAGGAGACTTGTAAACAGAAATGAGTTTTTGCTTTTTGTCTACATTTGGAGGGTATTTTGAACATGCACCAAGGTGTTTCTTTAATGAAGAAGTTCCATTATTAGTATTACCTGTTAGCATTTTCTCACAATATTTGCATTTGACTTGAACAATTTTTTTGGTTACTGGATCTCTAAAATCCCAAAAATGGTTCCAGTATTCAGACTTCCTCTTGTCACCAACCTTGGTTGATTTGGTTGTTGCATTCTCGTTTCCAACCTCACTTTCATCATCCATAGGGACTGACGAATTGTCGGTATTGCTCATAGTTCTGAAATAGGAACAAATTAAACTTTAATAAGACATAAACATTACACAAAGTGAGAGTGATTATATGCATTACACAAATACATACAACAGTCAGAACTGATATTGTCTCACTCACATAAACACAAAGAAAGAAAGGAGAGACAA